ATTCTTTTTTTTTTTCCTTTTTTGTCTTTTTTTTACTGACCGGCAATGGGATCGCAACCCTTGGTGTTGCACCTGCACCGCGCTCAGCCAGTGAGCGGGAACCAGTCTCCACATGGGATCGAACCCTCGGCGGGAGCGCTGCCACGCTCCCAAGTGGCGCACTCTCCAGTGTGCCACCGGGCTGGCCCAAGGACAGACTATTCTTTAGCTATGAAAGCTCACATTGCTTGGTGAGTCTGCTTCTGGTACAGGTTCACCGAGGGCAACAAATGACTCCAGGAAGTCAATTTCTTGTAGGGAGGGAGACTAGCTGGGGTAGGGTGAGAAACCAAGATAAGCGATTGGAGTTAGGGCAAATGCTGAGAAACATCTCTTGAGGTTTCATGTCTCACACTCTCATTTGCCAGCGCCCCCTGTAAAGGAAATCACGGGACTGTCCAGTATCTTGATAAGCCTCACTTGGTCACCTGCTTTCACTCTAACTACTGCTGGCACTTCCCCATCCAGTGGGTAGAAAAGCATCCTCTGCTGGTTGCTAATCCCAGGAAAGCTCTTCCTTCTCAACTGACCACCTCCATTAGGAAGAATGGTGCTAAGGTAAGCGTTTGCTTAAGAACAGCCTTCTTTCAAAGGAAGTTTTGGTTTTTCCATCTTAGTTCACATCCTGATGAATTCATCTTGAGGTGCACCCATCAGCAAGAGTCAGGAGATATGAACTCCTTCAAGGGAGCTTTGGATGCTGGCAGCTCAGACGGTGGGAGGTGTGAATAGGGTCAACCAGATTCTTTTCAATTCTGTTCTATCTCCTTATACCCTTCCTTTCTCTTCAGCCATTCAAATCTGCTACTCTGGAAAAAAGTATTTTGGTATTTTTAATTTAGGAAACAAGATAGTGTGTAGGCATTACTTCCCAAAGCTAAATTGTTAATAACCTCAGGTTTCACAGATTTGCTTGCTATTCAAAAGGTTTTCTTATTTGTATCTCTTGTATCTGTCATTGTTTTACCAGAAAACACCAGGCACATTCTAATAAGGGTAGCCAAGATGAGTTTAATGAAGAGACTCTTTACAAAGGTGTGGGCAGGGCTGAGGGAAATCTGTAAAGGATGATGAAACTCCCAAAGGCGAGTAATAGTGGAGATCTGTTACTATGGCTGGGCCTGAAGGGGTAAGGAGAAGAAGTTACAAGACTCAGAATGGGCATAGAGCCAAGATGAGTTTAATGAAGAGACTCTTTACAAAGGTGTGGGCAGGGCTGAGGGAAATCTATAAAGGATGATGAAGCTCCCAAAGGCGAGTAATAGTGGAGATCTGTTACTATGGCTGGGCCTGAAGGGGTAAGGAGAAGAAGTTACAAGAACTCAGAATGGGCATAACTGTAGCTGTGACTATAGGAAAAGGCCACCAGACAGGGCTGTGTCCTTCAGTTGAGTAACACTACCACTGAAAATTCAGCCTAGCAGGAAGAGAGCCAGGATATAAAAAAAATCCCAAATTGCTCTACTACTACCCTCCGATCTCCTGTCAATATATCTCTTTGACTGAATGCAACCAGGAGCCAGAGGAAAAGGAGCCCATTGGTAAGGCACAGAGAAGTCTCCTCCTAGGATACAGAGGAGGGTAGAGAAGGGAGGACATGAGGTCTTGATGGCAAATGGAAAATCCATTTCTTCCCATATCCTCCCCACAGTTTATAGTTCCTGGGACTTTTTCTACCTCAATGAGATTGGATCAATTTCTCATTTTATCTCCTCCAAGATTGTCTGATTATTTGTTTGCACATCCAGATCTAGTGTCATTTCTTTAGAATAATCTACCACTATCATCGTAAATGCCTCAAGAATAGGATGTAATTGGGAAAGAAAAGATGGGAGTACACAAGTATTTGTAAGGATTTTAAATTTATGATCAGGGCTGCTCTAAAGAGAAACTATTATAATAGTGACTTAAACAAGTGACAAAGTTTATTAGTCCTTGACTGGTTTTCTAAGACGTCAGACACCAGGACTCTTCCAACTTGCTGTTAACTCATCCATTAAGAGGTGCCCTCATCTTCATGGCCCTACATGGCTCCAGGTCACATCAGCATTCTAGCCTGGGGGTGAAAAGAAAGAAAGAAAGAGCAAAGGAGAAGTTGGTTACACACAGGAGGTTGGTTACCTTCCATTGGACAGCACCTAGTAACGTGGTGCCATCACCATCAAGGGAGGCTGGGAAATGGGGTCCTTTTTATAGTCTAACTCTCAAAATTATTATGTCTTTATAGAGGGGAATAGACTATTGGGGGCAACTAGCAGTGTCTATAACCCCTGCTTGTCTCTCAGAATCTGTGCTCACAAAGAATGAACGGAGAGGTAAGCTTGGGACAGGTCTCCAGGAAACCAGGGCTGGTGTTGGACCTGTTCTTCACCTTGTGATCTCAGGAAAATCTGTTATACTCTCTAAGCCTCAGATTTGCATGTTAAATGAGGATATTACAACAGGTGGGCTCTAAGGAATATGTGCTAGAAGCTGGGGATATAATAGTGAGCAATCACCACAAGAAAAACCAAGAAGGTCTAGGCATTGTAGATCTTTGAATTTAAGGAGGAAGACAAAAGAAAAAAAAAAAAAAAAGACACACAGTTAAAAATAGAGCTGCAAACTGTATTCAGTGCCATGAATAAAAAGGCCATGGTGCTCTGAGGGAGGATTACAGAAGCTGTGGTTTTTCTCCATATTCTCATCAGACCAACCAGGGCTGCAGAAACTAAGGGTATGTGATGGACACACTCAGCCCTTGCTGCCAACTCTGTGCCTCTATGGAGGACACACCCCCCTCCACTTGGAGGCCTCCCGCCTGTGTGTGTCCTCTGCAGTGTGGAGTTATTGACAGCTGTCTTTTCTGAAGTAGACAAGGGTTCCTGCATTTGGTTCCTTGTTTCTAGTTGGCTTCTATTCCCATCTCCTCTACTTATTTAATTGCTTCCCTTTCCTTACTGTTTCTTAGATTTGCTTAACCTAGGCTTAGAAGCCACCACCACTTTGATATCCCATTCTGGACTTGATTTGAGCATTACTTGTTGGTTTTCTCCCTTCACCATAGGTAGTTGACACTGAACCCTGGCAATGGGGCTGCAAGGCTGGTTAAGGACAAGGTCTCTGACAAGGACCCATGGGTTCATATGCAGGCTCTACCACTTGTTCACATGAGACCTGCATCAAGTCACTCAATCTCTTTCTGCTTTAATCTCCTTATCTGTAAAGTAGGAATAATAACAGTACTTACCTCATTGCGCTCTGAAGAGGACTAAAAGAGGTTAATACCAAGACGCACTCCATCAGGTGCTATCATTTACCCCCAATGTGAATTAGTTCACCTTCCTAAGCTGGAATTTACATAAACATCTCTCTTTTCACCCAAAGCCCTACACAAAGTCCAAATGGGTGCCTATTCTATTTCCCACCCCCTATCATAAAAAAATCCTCTTCACAAATACTTTAATCAGCAAAGCAAACTCTACTCAAAATCACATGGGGTCCAATAGGTGGGCTTTTATATTACATAACCTCTTAGAAGATAACTTAATAATTCCTCCCAGATATTTCCATCCCTCAACTCCCTCTAGTCAGCCTCATTGCCACTTCTCTCTCTCTCCTTTTCCAAACTTGCTTTTTACTCCTCAAAAGTGCAAAACATTCAGATAAGCTCTGAATCCTCTCCCTATCCACATCGTGACTTCATGTCATGGAGACACGACTGTGGCCATCATCAGCTATCTGTGCAGGCATAAAGAATTCTTCCAAATGCAAAAGAGCTCTCCATGGAAGCAATCATGAGGAATGAAATTTTCTTCATTTCTTTACACATGTGTTTTGTGGAGACTAATTTCATTTTTAAATGTTTGTATTATATTTAACTCAAAGTTTCATTCATTCACTCACTCACTACAAATTTGTTGACTACCCACTGTGTCCCCCACATGGAACCAGGCACTGAGAACACACAATGAATTAGAGAAGAGCACTTCCTGTCCTAATAAAGCTGACCCACTAAGCTAACCCAAGAGGTCTGGCCATCCTCAAACCTGTCCTAGGAAGAGGTCACATTCCCTTCATGACCCTGAATCATAATCTCCTTTCTTCCTGGTGGAGGGACCCCTCTCTATCACTGAGGGTGGCCATAGGCCATGCCTGGGGCCTCCGACTTCCTGCCATGAGAGAAAACCTATGTCCCAGGACAATAGGGTTGCTTGACCCAGGAATGCTGTGGCTTCCTGTTTAGAAATGGTGACTACGGTTGCTATCAGACATTTGATTTCATCACTGCAGCCCTGCTGCTGTTCCACACAACCTTCCCAGACTTCTCTCCTCCTTCCTCCAGGTGAAATGGCATGGCCTAGGACAGTGAGTGCGAGTGTTGAGGCCATAGAATTTTTCTGACCTCAACACAGGTGAAGGACCTGTGTTGCAGTAGAGAGGGCCCAGGCTTTAGAGTCAGCAAGAACTGGATTTGAATCCAGGTTTCAGAACTCTCCGGCCTTCAGTTAATTACTCAATCTCTGTAAGCCTCTATTTCCTTCCCTGTAATAAGGGAACAGTAATTCCCACAGGCAGGGTAGTCCTGAGAATCAGTGATCATGCAGCAGGTGCTCAACTCTTGTTTGTTTCCAGGGACACCCCTGGAGGGTTTCTGAGCATGGACTCAACCACTCCAACCTTGGAGACCGAACTCACAGCAACGAATGGAAATGAACAGGTCCTTCTTCCAGATTGTGACAAGGAGACCCTGACCTTGGTTTTGCTGATACTCATCATCTGCCTGGCCGGGCTGGCAGGAAACGCGGTGGTGCTGTGGCTGCTGGGCTTCCGCATGCGCAGGAACGCCTTCTCCGTCTACGTCCTTCACCTGGCCGCGGCTGACTTCCTCTTCCTCTGCTTCCAGGTTGTAGATTACCTGGAGAAACTCATTGACTTCTTGCATTCCACCTCCGTCTATATCCCTGACTTCTTCACCATTGTGTCCACCTTTGCCTACCTTGCAGGCCTAAGCATGATCACTGGCATTAGCACCGAGCGCTGCCTGTCCGTCCTGAAGCCCATCTGGTACCGCTACCACCGCCCGAGACACACGTCAACTGTCATGTGTGCCCTGCTCTGGGCCCTGTCCCTGCTGCTGAGTATCCTGGAAGGGAAGTACTGTGGCTTCCTCTTTAGGAATGGTGACTATGGCTGGTGTCAGACATTTGATTTCATCACTGCAGGGTGGCTGATTTTTTTATTTCTGGTTCTCTCTGGGTCCAGCCTGACCCTGCTGCTCAGGATCTTCTGCGGCTCCAGGTGGATGCAGCTGACCAGGCTGTATGTCACCATCATGCTCACAGTGCTGGTCTTCCTCCTCTGTGGCCTGCCCTTTGGCATTCACTGGTTCCTCTTAATCTGGATTCAGAATTATTTTTATTTGTTCCCTTGTCATCTTTACACGGTTTCAGTTGTCCTGTCCTGTGTCAACAGCTGTGCCAACCCCATCATTTACTTCCTTGTTGGCTCCTTCAGGCAGCAGTGGTGGCGGCGGAGGCAGACCCTCAAGGTGACTCTGCAGAGGGCTTTGGAGGACATTCCTGAGATAGATGACAGTGAAGGCAGCCTTCCTCAGGCATCGATGGAAATGTCAGGAAGCAGTGTGGTATAGCAACTGAGAGCTTCTGCTCGACTCAGACAGATGTGGCTTTGAGAACCAATTTGACCCCTATCAATTTCGGAGATTTTCTTAACTACTTTTTTCCTCTGCTTCTGATCTTAAGATGGTCCAGGACTTTTCCCACTGAAAGCAAAGCAGGAAAGGTAAAAATTTCCTTGGTCACTGCACCTCAATTGGGACTAAAATAATGTTACATTTTTAACAAGTTTATTTTTCTGTTTCCTACAATTTCTGTCAATAAAATTAGAAGAATTAAGTTTCAATCTAGCCTCAAAAGAGCCATCTTCTTTAAATTTGGTAGGCCTTAGAATATCTTCTTAGCTCAATAAATGATTATTGAATAAATGACTTAATGAACGAATAAATAAACTGATGAATTTTTATCACGCCTGTGTGAAATCTCCATCTATCAGATTTGATTCACCATCCTCTTTTTTTTCTCTTTAATTTATTTGTCCTTAATTGACCTATGAAAATTGTATATGTTTATGGAGTACAATGTGATATTTGGGTAAGTTAATACAGTGTGCAACAGTCATATAAAGGTATTTAGCAGATCTATCACCTCAAATATTTGTCATCTCTTTGTGTTGGGAACACTCAAAATCCTCTCAATTAAGCTACTTAAAGTTATATAGAAATTTGTTGTTGGGCCGGCCCGGTGGCGCACTGCTACAGTGTGCCGCTTGGGAGCGTGGCGGCGCTCCCGCCGAGGGTTCAGATCCCACATACAGACCGGCCGCTCACTGGCTGAGCGAGGTGTGGGTGCAGCACTGAGGGTTGCGATCCCGTTGCCGGTCCCGGTCCGGTACGGGCGCGACACTGAGGGTTGCGATCCGTTGCCAGACATGAAAAAAAGACAAAAAAAGGGAAAAAAAAAAAAAAGAAGAAATTTGTTGTTGACTGTAGTCTCCCTATATTGCTGTGGAACACATGATCTTATTCTTATCTCTCTACACTACTGTATCCAATGACCACCCTCTCCCCAAACCCCTTTCCTCCCTTTACCCATCTCTAGTAGCCACTATGCTGTTCTCTACTTCTGTGAGATCAACTTTTTTAGTTTACACATATGAGCGAGAACATGCAGTATTTGTCTTTCTGTGCCTGGTTTGTTTCACTTAACAAAATTTTCTCCAAGCTCATCCATGCTACTGCAAATGGCAGAATTTCACTGTTTTTATGGCTGAGCAGTATTCCATTGTGTACAAATATGCCATACCACGTTTTCTTTATCCACTCATCCATTGATGAACATTTACGTTTGTTCCAAATCTTGGCTATTGTGGATAGAGCTGCAATGAACATGCGGGTGCAGGCATGTTGTTTTCCTTTCCTCTGTATATAGACCCAGTAGTGGGATTGCTGGATCCTATGTATTTCTATCTGTACTTGTTTGACAAATCACCATACCGTTTTCCAAAATGGCTGCATTAATTTACATTCCCACCAACAATGTATGAGTTCCCCTTTCTCTGCATTGTCACCAGCATTTGTTATTTTCTGTCTTTTTGATAATAGCCATTCTAACTGGGGTGAGATGATATCTCATTGTGGTCTTGATTTGCATTTCTCTGATGATTAGTGATGTTGAGCATTTTTCCATATACCTGTTAGCCATTTGTATGTCTTCTTTTGAGAAATGTCTATTTGGCTCCTTTGCCCATCTTTTAATCATATTATTTGTTTTTTTACTATTGAGTTGTTTGAGTTGCTTGTATATTCTGGATATTAATCCCTTGTCAGATACACAGTTTGCAAATATTTTCTCCCACTCTGCAGATTCTCTCTTCTCTATTGATTGTTTCCTTTGCTGTACAGAAACTTTTTAGTTTGATATAATCCCATTTGTCTTTTTCTTTTGTTGCCTATGCTTTTGAGGCTTTATTCATAAAATTTTGCCCAGTCCTATGTTCTGAAGCTTTTATCCTCTGTTTTCTTCTAGAAGTTTTACACTGTGGGGTCTTACATTTAAGTCTTTAATCCATTTTGATTTGATGTTGGTATATGGTAAGAGATAGGAATCTAGTTTCATTCTTCTGCATATGGAGCTCTAGTTTTCCCTGCACCACTTATTGAAGAGACTGTCCTTTCCCCAGTGTATGTTTTTGGCTCCTTTGTCAAAAATCAGTTGGCTGTAGGTATGTGGATTTATTTTTGGATTCTCTCTTCTGTTCCATTGGTCTGTGTCTGTTTTTGTACCAATACCAGGATGTTTTGATTACTATTGCTTTGTAGTATAGTTTGAAATCAGGGAGTGTGATGCCTCCCACTTCTTCTCGCTCAGGATTGTTTTGGCTATTTGGGGTCTTATGTTGTTCCACATAAATTTTTGGATTGCTTTTTCCACTTCTGCAAAGTATGTCATTGGTAGTTTGATGAGGATGGCCCTGAATCTATAGTGGGTAATACTGCCCAAAAGTCTTAGCTTGTTCCAGGACCAGCTTAAAAGTCCAAAGTCCAAAGTCTCATCTGAGGCCAAAAGCGAAAGTCCTTCCAGCTGTGAACCTGAAAAACAAAACCAAATTTATCTACTGCCAAGAAACAATGGTGAAACAGACATTGGGTACACATTCCCATTCCAAAAGGGAGGAATAGACCAGAAGAAAGGAGAAACAGGCCTTAAACAAGTCCGAAACCTAGCAGGACAGACATTAAATCTTAAAGGTCCAAAATAATCTTCCTTGACTCCAAGTCCTGCATCCTGGGCACATGGGTCATCTGGGCCCCCAAAGCATCAGGCAGCCTCACTCCCACAGCTCTGCCAGGTGCAGCATAGTGGGCTATGCTGGTGCCTGTGGCTTTTTCAGGCCTGCATTGCACATTACCAGTGGCCCTGCAGTTCTGGTGTCCTGGCAGCAGCCAAACTGCGTTGGCTCTACTAGACATTTCCTGGGTGGGGGCTCCCTGTGGGGGCTCTTACCCCACTTTCCTGCTTGGCATTGGTCTAGTAGATGACCTCTGCAGTGGCTCCACCCTTGTGGCAGGTCTCTGCCTGGGTCCCCATGCTTTCCCATACATCCTCTGGAATCTGGGTGGAGGCTGCCATGCCTCCACTGCTCTCACATCCTGCCAGCCTGCAGACTTAACACAACGTGGACACCACCGAATTTCAGGCCTCTACTCTCCAGAGCTGTTGCATGAAACACAATTGGGGCCACTCCAGTTGGAGCAGCTGGGATTCAGGGAGCAGGTTCCCGAGGGCAGCTGCGCCCCTGTTATATCCTCCAGGATAACTCAGTCCTTCTAGGCCTCAGGGTCTGTGAGTGGTGGGACACCCTTCCAGACTTCTGAAATGCCTACAGGGCTTTCCTCTCATTTTCTCTGCTATTAGCATCTGGCTGCCTCACCACCAAGATAATGTCTTTAGCAACCAGTTTATCTGCTTCACCCTTGCATTGTTCACCGGCTCTCTGCTTCTTTACCACATGGCCAGACTGCAAATTTTCCAAACCCTTACGCTCTGCTTCCCTTTTAAATTCTGGCTATACATCATGATTTTGCCTCCATAACTCAGAGTAGGCTCTTAAAAGCAACCATGCAGCTTCCTTAATGCTTTGCTGCTTAGAAATTTTTTTGGCCAAATGTTCTGGTTCACAACTCTTAAGGTCCAATTTCCACAAAGTCCAAGGGCATGGACACAATGCAGCCAGGTTCCTTGCTATGGTATAGCAAGGGTTATCTTTTGTCCAATTCCCAGTAAGTCCCTCATTTCTATCTGAGACCTCATCATCTGCACGGCCTTTACTGCCCACATTTCTATCAGCATTCTGCTCTCCACCACATAAGTCTCTAAGACATTCCAAACTTTCCTTCATCTTTTTCTCTTCTTCTAAGTCCTCCAAACTCCTCCAACCTTTGCCCATTACTCAGTACCAAAGCTACATCCACATTTTCAAGTATCTGTATAGCAACACCACACTTCTCTGGTACCAATTTTCTGTTTTAGTCCATTTTGTGTTGCTATAACAGAAATACCTGAGACTGGGTAATTTATAAAGGAAAGAGGTTTATTTGGCTTACAATTCTGAGACAGCTGTGTCTGGCATGGGCCTCAGGCTGCTTCTACTCATGGCAGAAAAGCAACAGGCAGCTGGTGGGTACAAGTAGATCACATGGCAAGAGGAAGCAAGAGAGAGACAGAGAGAAGAGGTGCCAGGGTCCTTTAAACAACAAGCTCTTGCAGGAACTAATAGAGCGAGAACTCACTCATTAATCCCCCCTCCCCCAGGGAGAGCATTAATCCATTCATAAGGCATCCACCCCCATGACTCAATCAGTTTCCAACACTGCCAATTGGGGATCAAATTCCACATTCGTTTTGGAGGGGACAACACACCCAAACTCCATCACCCACTAAGCCATTAATCCATCAGTCCATGAGTGGATCAAACCATATACAAGGGCATAGACCTCACAATCCAATCACTTTCTTAAAGGCCCCACCTTTCAATACTGCCATAGTCTGATTCCCCATCCCCTTAACACTGTTACAATGAGGATCAAGTTTCAATGAGTTTTGAGGAAGGCATTAATCCACAGCAATCACTGAAGCAGCATGTTAGTGTGTAGGCTTTTGTATGGACATAAGTTTTTTACTCATTTGGGTAAATATCTAGAAGCATGATTGCTGAATCTTGTGATAAGCCTATGTTTAGCTTTTTAAAAACTTCTAGACTGTCTTCTAAAGTCATTGTACCATTTCGTTTTCCCACCAGCAATGTGTGAAAGTTTCTGTTGCTCCACGTTCTCATCAGAATTTAGTGTTGTCAGTGTTTTGGATTTTAGTCATTCTGATAGATGGGTAGTACTATATCATTGTTTGCTGTTGCCATTGTTTAATTTGTACTTCTACAATGACATATCACAATAAGAATTTTTTTCGCATGTTTATTTACCATCTGTGTAACTTCTCTGGTGAGGATCCTGCTGAGATCTTTTGCCCACTTTGTAATTGGGTTGTTTGTTTTCTTATTGTTGAGTTTTTAGTG